ATGCAGTTATTTTACAGCATGCAGGTATTTTACAGCATGCAGGTATTTTACAGCATGCAGGTATTTTACAGCATGCAGGTATTTTACAGCATGCAGGTATTTTACAGCATGCAGGTATTTTACAGCATGCAGGTATTTTACAGCATGCAGGTATTTTACAGCATGCAGGTATTTTACAGCATGCAGGTATTTTACAGCATGCAGGTATTTTACAGCATGTAGGTATTTTACAGCATGCAGGTATTTTACAGCATGCAGGAATTTCAGTGCAGTAGGATTAACGCGAGTAGTAACATTTACTGAATTAAAGTACAAAGTGCTCACCTTAGAATCCATACCAAACTTGTTGTCAATAATCACGAGATATGTGCACGTATAACCAGTACGCTACATCCTTTCCAGCCAACGTTGAGAAATTATTTTATCAATAAATGTAAATAATTAGTAGCAAATAAAATTTTGATTATCCTTTGTTGATTTACCTACTCGTCCTGACCTAGTGGTAACAACATTGCCCTCATTATTCTGCGAGGCTTGCCCTACTTGACCTGCTGACTCACTGCTTTTACAAGCATCAGGGCTCCTTATACCTTTATCGTTAGAACCTAAGACTTCGTTGCTATTCTCCAGTTAGACAGAGAAAGGACCTCACATATCTTTCAACATCTTCAACAATCCCAAGCATGCCGCAATTCCTGCTCTGCTGAATGCTTTAAAGTTATAGAACATGCGACCACAAGATTCCTGGTCAAGATAAAAGAAGCGCTACATATTTCCTGGGAGCAACCTTCTTTGAACAAGCAATTATATCACGTTAATTTAGCTCTTTCGTTCTAATTAACACGTCATATTCTGCACTCTTTTGTTACCTTTGGGTATTCTGTTAGTTTCAATAGCTTTTGTTTAGTACTACATTATAAATTCAAATGTAGCTTCGAATCAATTCTACTCTCAACTGAAGATAGTCGTTGAACGACCGAAACATGTCTTATAATTTCAAATGCTTGGTTTTTTTTTTTATAAAAATTGTTGTCAGTCTGCTCCTTACCAGATATTCTCTAGTTCTTCGACAATTTCTGAACTTGAAATTGGCACATGCTTTAGATATTTCGCGTTCCGAATCAGAGTGACACTGGTATCTACATTAACTACACCGAAAGTGTCTCTCCCCTGCGCCTTGAAGATTACATGCATAGCTGATTGAAACTTAGAATCCAGTTTGCTAGGCCTCGTGTTAGTGCAGAAGACAACGTCACCGACTTTAAAGTCATGCAAGGCTGCGAGACATCTAGCGTCGTGATAATCTTTGAGTCGTGCTTCGTAACTCTTGCATTTCGCACGCTGCGCTTGCGAATTGGGACTAGTTTCGATGTGCGGAACCTTGATGCGGATTTCGTGGTGAAAGAGTAATTTGGCAGGCGAATTTCTGCCAATCGGATGAGGGGTTATGCGGTAAGACATGAGAATCTTCGGCAACTCTCTCTGTGCCATGACTTTCTCTTTGCGATTGCGGCGCGAAAATTCTTCTTGAGATACCTGTGGAAACGTTCCACCTTACCGTTACTACGTGCATAATACGGGTAAGCGCGAATGTGCCTTATCCCACAAGACTTGAGGAATGTATCGAACTCTGCGTTTATAAATTGCCTGCCATTACCCGAAACGATTCCCTCCAGAAAACCGGATCTCGAGAATATATCTATAAACACTCGAATAGCCTCACTAAAAGTTATCTAACCACCGCCCAGTTAGCCAAATGAATAGTGCGCTGGACTGTTGTGCAGGAGGTGGAGGGTTCGAGCCCCGGCCGGATCAACTCTGAAGGTCTTAAAATAATTGAGAAGAATTTGCTACCTTTCTTTAGAACATAGCTAGCAGAGTCGCGCAGTCAAATTCATTATACGTAAG